GGAGCGATCTGCTCAGACTCAACAACCCGGGCATCATGAGGGAGTTCTACTTCTTTGTCGAGGCTGATGCAGGTTTGTGACTGCGCGAATTGTCCTCGCTTGAATGGCGTCTATTCAGGCCGTTGGTGCAATGACTCCCGTTTAAGTGTAGAGATGATGACCCTTGACCCGTCCCTTTCAGGAAACTGGAGCGAAATTATCTTCGTTGATGGCCAGTTGAACGGAGGTGGAGAATTCGTCTTTAGTGACAATTCTGATGTGCCGATGGGTAAGGACTCCATTATGTGCTATCATACAAAATTGTATGCGTGCGTGGTCGCTTGTGTTTGTATGTGTGTGCAGGTACAGGCACTCTGTTTGTCTCTATTCAGGGTTTCTAGACTTTTGGCATCAAAGTTCCGTGACCTCATGACTTTCCAGATATAGTTTGTAGTTCTTTTCACATATTTATTTGCACATTTGATACATACATCACAATGCATATACCCCATTGCATTAATGTAATTTATGATTGATGTCAGATCTAAAAGATTTGAATAATGACTTGTGAGTGTGCTTTATTGACTATGTAGTTTTTCAACTTTTCATTCTGTCATCTCAATCTTCCGACGTTTATATTGATTTCTATCTGAAGACTTACAGAATAGAAAACTGTCAGACAAAAAAAAAAAAAAAAAAAAAAAAAAAAAAAAAAAAAAAAAAAAATCGCAAATACTATATTTTCGCGATTTTCCACTTGAAAACTTTTTTTTTTTTTTTTTTTAATGATATTCCCGGTCTAGAGATTTCAATTTCCATGATTCTCCGGGAGCATTGCGCTACTGCCTTCTTCCATCTTTCAAAGCACCTCAATACATCTGACTTCAGATATATATTCCTGAATCTGAGAGGAATGTACGTAAAATCTCGCAGTCATTACTATAGTATGAAGAGATGGGTAACGTCTTTGGAGCAAGTAATATTCCAGTTGTACTTTCCTTTCATTTAGTTGTGCGGTACACTTCGTTTACTGGGTCATACCTGGAGAGGCAGAGATTCAAATTATAGTCAGGCAGGGTTGTTACAAACACACACATGCGCAAAATACACACACGTATTTTTTTCACACACACACACAAATGCATCTATTCACACACACACACACACTTATGTAGCTATTCACACACACACACACTTATGTAGCTATTCACACACACACACGTGCGTGTATAATTTTCGTTGATGTTAGTATCAGTGTATTTATCATTATCTTTTTTTTTTTTTTTAACTCGTGTTACTATTAATATTATAAATGTTGCTTTTATTGATATCATGATGATTTTTTCGTTATTAGTATGATGAGAATTATTATCATTATTATTACCATTCTCAATTCTAATGTTTTTGCCATTATCCTTTTGTTTCTACTAATGTCATTATTATTTTCATTATCAGCATTGCTATTACCACTCTAATGATTGTTTATAATGAAGAGCAACATCATTATTGCTGTTATCATCATCGTTACTATTCCTTGCAATAACCTGGCACACCTGAGCCCTCAGCGCTGACCCTTGTCTCTCGCCCTCAGGTTCTCCGTACTGGCAGGTCGGACACCCTACCGGGGAGGCCGACCACCTGCACTACTCTACTTTTACCTACTTAGTGAACGACGTGCCATGTGTGTTTCCTCCTCCTCCTCCTCCTCCAACTACTACCTTAGCTCCGGTAGTGCCAGGGCCCCACGACCACAGGCCTACGGGACCCTTCCACGTGGCTTGCGAGGTGCCACCTGTCTGAGTGCCGTCCAGGGAAGTGTAAGGGCTGAGAGGGCGACCCAACCCCTGGCAGTCTCCCGAAAGAACTAAAAGATTTAATGATTTCACTTTAATCAATTTGGTTTTAAATGATGCATTACGCGTTCTTTGGCTGTTCTACTTCAAACCTCTTGTTAGTGTATCAAAATTCAATAAATTTACTTGTTTGACCATCGGAATTTCCCTGTCACCAAAACCCTCACTCTAAATATCACATAGCATAGCCGTGTCGAGTTCAGACTGCAAACAATACTGCAACAATGATCTTTTGTTTGCTCTTTGTGGCTTTGAGGTGAAAGAAAAAGAATGCTCGTCTCTCGTCGTCTTGAAAATCATTCCCCTGGACATAGGGCAGAATCTTCGTCCACCGAGACACAGCTACCGTCTGTATAGCCTTTGTCCTGACCAGCCAGGGTCCCTGCGTCCTTGCAAGCGTCGCGCCCTGGCCCTAAGGCTACTTGGCCACTCGTGATCTGCGATTGTAGAACCTACATGTGCGCTTTCATCGTTATATATGATTACTTTAACCCTATTTCCATGAAACTTCATGTTTACTTGATATAGGACATAACAGAAACTTTGATTTCAGTAGGGGGAGATATTCATAATTTCCAACAACTTGATATACACTGTTTATCTCGTCACAGTATCCTACACAAAGATGATTTTCGTTACACAACAAAAATAGAAAAAAGAAACTTTAA